CATCAAGCCATGCTGAGGCAACGTCCCACATGCCACAACTGGAAGGACCAACAACAAAGAATATACAACTATGTACCGGGGGGTTTTGGGGAGAAAAAGGAAAAAAATAAAACCTTTAAAAAAAAAATCAATTGTACTTCGTGTACTAAAAACGAGCCATTGGAATTTAAATTTTATATACAATTTACATAATTGTAGGAAATATATATTTTTTAAATTATGTGTGTAATTTTTGTAAATATGTGTGTGTGTAACTTTTTAAAGTGCCCAAACCAAAATATTTTTAAAGTTTAACTTTATTTTTTGTTGTAGTTGACATACTATATTAGTTTCAGATATACAAGATAGTGATTTAACATTTATATACATTATGAAATGATCATGGCAAGCCTTGTAACTGTCACCATACAAAATTATTACAATATTATCGACTATATTCCCTATGCTGCATACTATTTCCCTGTGACTTATTTATAACTGGAAGTTTGTATTTCTTAATCCCCTTCACCTATCTTGCCTGTCCCCCGACCCTCTCCCCTCTGGCAAACACCAGTTTGTTCTTTCTATCTATGAGTTTGCTTCTGTTTTGTTTGTTTTGTTTTTCAGATTCCACATATAAGTGAAATCACATGGTATTTGTCTTTCTCTGACTTAACTTTCCATAAGCTATAATATTAAAGACAGTGTGGTACTGATGAAAGGATGGACACCTGAGATCAATGGAACAGAATAGACAGCACAGAAATAAATGCACACAAATATGGCCACTTGATTTTTGATACAGGTACAAAGCCAATTTAGTGGAGAAAGGACAGTCTTTTTAACAAATGGTGCTGGAACATTTAAACATTCACATGCAAAACACCAAAACAAACAACAACAAAATGAACGTCAATCTATGCTTCACTCTTATGGAAAAATCAACTCAAAATGCATTGTAGACTTAAATAAGCTTAAAATTCTAACACTTCCAGGTGTATAGGAGAAAATCTTTGTGACCTTGGGTTAGGCAAAGAGTTTTTTTAAGTTTCACACCAAAATCACAATCCAGAAAGTGAAAAATTGATAGATTGGACTTCATTAAAATTGAAACCTTTTCCTCTGTGAAAGATACTAAGAGAATGAAAAGACAAGCCACATACAGGTAGAAAATATTTGCAAATCACATTTCTGACAAAGCATTTGTATCAGAATATGTGTAGTTCTTAAAAGCAACCACAAGAGAATAAACAATCCAATTTAAAAATTGACAAAAGATCTGAACATGTATGTCACTAAAGCAGATACATGGCTAGTACATAAGCATGTGAAAACATGCACAACATTAGTTTACAGAGAAATGCAAATTAAAACCAGCATAAGGCCTTTATACTCCTATTAGAATGGGAAACAAAACAAAGATGAAAATACAAAATAGTGCTGTGGATGTGGAAACTGAGAAATGGGAACTCTCACTCATTGCTGGTGAGATCACAAAATAATACAATCACTTTGGAAAAGAGTTTTACAATTTCTTATAAATTCAAATACCACACAATCCAGCAATCCTCCTCCTGTGTATTTACCCAAGTGAACAGTAAACGTATGTCAACACAAAAGCCTCAACACAAATATTTATAGTATCTTTATTCATAATCACCAAAACAGGTAACAACCCAGATATCCTTCAACAGGTAATGGAGAAATAAACTGTGAAACATCTATAAATAAAATACTCCTCAGTAATAAAAAGGAATGCTAATGCCTCACACTACAATATGAGTAAATTTTAAATGATTTTTGCTAAGTGAAAGAAGCCAAACCTAAACGCTGCACATTATGTCATTCCATCTATGTGACATTCTGAAAAAAGTTAAATTATAAGACAGAGAACAGATCAGTGGATGGCAGGGGCTGGGGGAGGAAGGAAGGGCTGAGGAGGGAAGTTCTATGGTAACAGAGCTGTTGTGCACAGTGCTGGGGTGACACATTCATCAAAACCTGAGGGCTGTACACTGCCAAGAGAGAACTTAACTCTAACTAGGTAACCGAAACAATCAGACAGCGTTGGATGGAACGTGGACTGTGATAAGTGACTGTTTTTACAAACGTATCCTGTAACCTGAATGAAAAGGGTGGGGGGAAAGGAGCTGACCTAAATAACTTTGTAAAACAACATTTTTACTGGATACTAGAAGACTGGAAACAAAAAGAACTGTACAGAAACACTGTAGCCTGGCTGGTGAATTCTCACAGGCATTAGCAATTCTGAAACGGTAATGCACACTAGGGCTAAAAGAGTAAGTAAATATATTGTAGATAACAGTAACCAGGTACCTCAGCGTCTGAGTATGAAGATAAAAATAAGCAAGCGGCAGGTGGGGAGTCTAGAATGAACCCTGAGTTAGAGAAGGAGATATCAGCGTAAACTCATATTATTTTTAATATGTATATGTATACATAGTACATACATGTATAGACACAGAAATATAGATATTGTAATACAGAGTACTAACATGGATTAGCAAACATACATATTTCTTAGCTCTGTCTTCTGAGTCTAGAAACAGTTACATTCAGCATCAGTAAGCACACCTAGGGCTCAGATGTTCATTTCTCCAATAAAATAAACCAGGGCCCCTTGGAAAAATGGCTGATTCTAGGGCTGGGGCAGGAAAAATGCAGGATGAGCCTGGAGCATCTTGTGGTGTCAAAAAGCGAGGATATGCTTTAAAAAAATTTTTTAAGTATATATTAAAAGGATCCAAAAGCTAACCTATGATAGCTCTCAATGCACCCGGAAGAATTGGAGCAACATAATGACACCATAGTATTGGAAGAAATGAAAAGGGAGAGGGGGCAGGGGGGAAAGGAGCTAAATAGGAGCAACAACATGAATGAATCTTAAATGAATTTTGTTAAGTGAAAAAAGCCAAATCCAGGAGATACATATAATGATTCCATTTGACATTCTGAAAATGGTAAAATTATCGAACAGAGAACAGATCAGAGGGTGCCAAAGGTTGGGTGAGAAAGGTAGGGTTGAACAACAATGGTTGGGAATGAAATAAATATCCATGAGTCCATATTGACATACATAAATGACAGAGTAGTTAATGGGGGAAATAAAACTTTTCACTTACAGAAGAATCCCAATTAATGCCTATATAAAGAAGAGGTGAAATAGAAATTACCATTTAAAACACCACAGTAATAATTGCTGCAGGCAAGATCCACCAATGAAAGCTAAAATTAGTGGCCAAAACTCTAAATAGAAACAGCATATTTACATAGCCTCAAAAGGTCTCTCCTCAAATTTACTAACAAATGTGGTGGTTTTAAAATATGACCACAAATCCAAGATGGAGCTTATTTCCAGCCCCCGTGAGTGTGCACTGGACTTAGTAACCCACTTCTAAGTGTAGACTAGAAAGGGGAAAATCCTAACTACAGAGTGGAGAAACCTATCAGACACCACCTTAACCAAGTAATCAAGGTTAATATGACAAGTCCTGTTGATATCGTGTCCCATCTGTGGTATTCTTCCCAGAAACTTATAACCGCCACCCAATCAGGAGAAAACATCAAACTCGAATTCAGGGACATTCTTCTTCTTCTTTTTTTTTTTTTTTTTAAAGATGGGCCCTGAGCTAACATCTGTTGCCAATCTTTCTTTTTCCTTCTTCTCTCCAAAGACCCCCAGCACATAGCTGTAAATTCTAGTTGTAGGTCCTTCTAGTTCTGCTGTGTGAGACGCTGCCTCACCAAGCCTGGACAGGCGGTGCTAGGTCCCCGCCCAGGATACAGGAACCCTGGGCTGCCAAGCCCAGCCACGAACGTAACTACTGGGCCACAAGGCCGGCCCCCACGGACATTCTTCAAACTATCTGACCCCTATTCTTCAAATATCTGAAGGTCATGAAACACAAGGACAGACCAAGAAACTTAACAGATTGGAGGAGACTAAAGAGACAGGATGACTAAATGTACTGTGGTATGCTGGATTGGATCCTGGATCAGTAAAAGGACGTTAGTGGAGAAACTGATGAAATCGAAATAAACTCCGCAGTTTAGTTAATAGAACTTTACCGGTGTTACTTTCTTAGTTTTGATAAATGTACCATGGTTATGTAAAACTTCGACATTAGGGAAAGCTGGGTGAAAGTATACGGGAACTATCTTTGCAACTCTTCCGTAAATATCAAGTTATTAAAACATGAAAGTTAAGAGGTGACACTGACCAAAAAGAGTTCGCAATATACTGTTTCATGAAAAGTTCGCCATAAAATAATATGCCCATATGATCACACTGTGCTAAAAATGTCCAGCGGATGTGCACATAAAAGAATGCATACGTGGTTCCAGGTAAAATATGGTTGGTTCCAGGAGCGTGCTTTCTTCTTTAAGCGTGGTGTGTGAACAGTTTCGGACATGCCAAGTTTTTATTATTGTTCGATGCCGAATTGCTAACTTGGTTTTTTCCTCATTCCAGAGAATAGCTATGCTGGTCAGTTATTACTTTAGACAAGTTTACCTTCTAAACTGCTAGAAAATAAATTTATCTAAACTAATCCAACATCTATCTGTCCACGTTCATAAATGCAATTCACGCACACCTTTCCTTCTCTCGGTCTGTGTCCAAACGGCACACTGCTTTGATGCACACCTCCAGGGCACAGATAGAAACCTGGCTCCAGGCAGCAGGAGTATCTCAGTAATCTCGTAACGCAGTAAACCAGGCAGAAACTCCCCAGCTGATTTCTAAAGGAGTAGACACGGTGTACAGTGGGAAAGAGAATCTTGAAAAATGTACAGGTACTAAACAATTTATGTGCCAGACACCGTCCTAAGTGCTTTTACAATGTAAACACCTTTAATCTTTATAAAACTATTAGCTAGGTATTACTATTAGCTTACTTTTACAATTTTAGGAGTGAGGCATCGCTTCTAAGCATAAAACCACTTTTCCAGCCCAGGCTGCCAGAAGCCAAGTTCCAGCTCGCCGCCGCCCCCGCCCCCTCCTTCTGCGCATGTGCATCCCCGCCTTCTCCTCCCCTAGTCCTTGCCCGGCCTCCAGCCCCTCGTGGGAAACAATCCCTGGCCTCCCGGTCCACTCGGCAAGGGAGCTGCGGGTGAGCCCCGGAGGGTGGGGGCGAAGGCAGAGGGGGCCTTGCGCAGCTCGGGGGTCTGGTGGGGGCGGTGGTGCCCGGTGGTGGGTAGGAGCCCCGCGGACACTGGCCGGATCCCTGGCGTCTGCAGCGCCTGCAGAGTTGAAGGGACGGCGAGCGAGGGCGCCTGTGTCTAAAGGGGCCGAGGGCCGGCGTGGGAACCTGGGCTCTCGGGCTTGCTGCGCCCGCAGGTGTCCCGCCCCTGCCCTGAGCTGGCGGCGCTGTCGGGTGGTCCCGAGTGGGGAGTGCGCGTGCGTGACGTGTGCGCTGGTCCCACGGGCGTGCGGTGGGGGTGGGGAAGAGCGAATGCGCGTGCGCGACTTGCGCGCGTTTGGCGTAGTGACGTGTGCGCCTGCGTTTTTTGTGCGCTGTGCTTAGGAAGCGAGGTGGCTGGGGACCGGTGTCGGGGAGAAGGAGTGCGCCAGGCGGGGGGGCGGATATAAATGAATTGTTCCCAATTAGCCGACGTGAGACTCGGTTTCCTTATCTGTAAAATGCGGGTCTGAAGAATATTTGCCGCGTTGTGTTAGCTGCTGTTGTATTATTTGTTAGGTGTGTAATAACTGCGGCCGGGGCTTGGCCAAGTCTCTAGGGCCCGCGTTCCTCAGTTAACTCATTCGTGAATAACGGAGGAGGGTAGGGGCTGGACTAGCTAGCCTAAGCTTTCCTGGCCCTAACGTTACCCAGATACCAGGTTATTCTTTATTATGTATTCATTTGTTATTTGTTATGTATAATCACGACACAGTATCCTGAAGCCATCGAAGGCTGTGTGACGGTGGAAGGTCTGGGACAAATTTAAGAAGAGCGAGGTGAGCTGGAGCTGAGACGGGTGGGCTCGCAGGCTACACAGGAAATGTCACCTCTCTGGAGAGTTTGTGAGGGCATGGTCGGGGATGAAAGGCTCACCAGCCATAGCTTAAGGAATTCTGTCCTTACCCCTCCCTAAACAACTGCTACTCCCCTCGTTCTTCCTCCCCTCTTTCCCGAGGTGAGCTGCCCTCAGACAGTGTCCCATTGTTGATGGCATTTAGAGGGATGCTGAGGTTCCCGCTCTCCCGGCCTTATAGCCGCACAGGATGGTAGTGCAGGCAGGTCCTTTTTGAGTTAGACGTTTTGACCTTATTTGAAAGATTAAAAAAATTGAGTCTGAGAAGGTGAAGGCTGACACAATTTGTTAATGGCAGAACCAAGATTAAAAGTCAAGTCTGCAGATTGCTAGGCTACTGCCCATTTTGTCACTGTTAGGTCAAAGTTAGTTTCTTATTAAAAGAGCCTTTTGAAAATTGTAAGCAGGTTAGAACAAACATTTCAAAAAATGTATCTTCTTAAACACCCCCATCCCTTTTTTCAGAGGTTTCTTGGATTATCTGACCTCATGGGATTAATGGTGTTACCAGGTAAATAGATAAACAAGTTGGCTTGAGGGCTTTTTTTCCCAACCCTGCAACGTAAGGTTGACAAATCCATAGTGTTTCCTCCTCTAGATTACTGTTATATGTTAAACTCATCTTCTCATGTTTTTAATTTTTCTGTGTCACAGAACCTAAATTGGTAATAAATCAATAAGAAACAAATGTTTACATTCACTCAGTGAAAAGTATCATGTCTAAACTCAACATATATCGGAGCCACACATGGACATGTAAGTATCTTGTGTGTGGAGCTGTGTAGGCAGGTGAATCCAGGAACTGCAAGGCCGGCCAAGTTCTCCTGACTTCCTTCTTCCTTCCTTCTCCCTCAGCTCTCCCGCCTCTGCTAAGAGCAGAAAATGAACGAATCCCAGGTGAGTTTTTTGTTTATTTGTTTCCAATTTATTTTAAAGTGAGTTTTCTTAAGTTTATAGGGATTTGTATTTTTGAAGTGAAAAAGTAGAAATTGGCAAAAATTTACATTAAGGGAAATGTAGTGAGAGTTACAAGTCCAAAGTAGGGCAGTTGGCAAAATTAGATGCAGGATTTTTAATTTTACAGATTTATACAAGTTATTATAAAATTTTCTTTGATCTTCCTAATAATAACACTGAAATAAATACAATATAGTGCCTATAGTCATTTCGTGGTGGAAACAGCACAGTGCCAAAGCAGAACTCAGTGCACATACTTTTCAGGGGACCAAACAGTGACGTTTGAGTAGATAGCTCTCTCATGGTCCTACTTGATCCAGGAAAAAAACCTTGAAGATCTGGCAGAATGGAACGACTGCATGTCCTAAAAATAACTCTCCATAAATGCTTGTTTGTATTTCTAGCTTGAGGAGCAGACAGTTCTGGCTTTTGTTTCTGCATTTCTCATTTACATTTCAGCCTAATGAATGTAGTCTTGCTCCTTTACCACCGCTCACCTGAATCCCTTCCAGAAAAGTCTTTGTCTTACTTGACCCTTCTGCAGCATTTGATACTATTTTCCATATTCTCTTTGTTTTGAGTCTTTTCTGTTGTCTATGACACCACATCAATTGTGGATGTTCCATAGTTTATTAAACTAATTATTACCTATTTCCAGCCTTTTGCTACTACAAACCATGTTTTAATGAATAACCTTGAACATATAGGTTTATTCTATCAGATAAATTCCCGGAAGTGAGATTGCCAGGTTCAAGGGTGAATACAATTGATAAACTTGATCAGTTTGGTGGGGTTATAGTATCATTTTGTATTCCCATTCCCACTGCATGAGAGTGTGTGTTTTTTCACAGCTTCTCCCATGGATGTATGTGGTTTAACTTTTGGATTTTTGGCAGCTTATAGGTAAAAAGTGGAATTTTATGTAGTTTGCATCTGCAATTTTCTTAACCCTGAGTGAGGTTGAATATTTTTTTCATGTATCTACAAGGTGTCTTTATTTGTATTTCTGTAAACTTTCTGTTCCTATTTTTTGCTCATTTTGCTGTTAGGTTTCTGGCTTTATTATTTTTTTTCCCCATGTATAGTTAGCTCTTTATATAGCAGGGATACGAATGCTTGTCTATTTTATGAGTTACAAACTATTGTTTTCTGGTATATCGTTTGTCTTTTGATGACTGTTCGTGGTGTTTTTCTCCCATCCAGGTATCCTGTTTCAGGATGCCACATTTCATTTAGTTGTTATATTTCCTTAGGCTTCCCTTGGCTGTGACAATTTCTTAGACTTTCCTTGTTTTTGATGACGTTAACAGTTTTGAGGAGTACAAAACAAGTGTTTTGTAAAATGTCCCTTAATTGCGATTTGTCTGCTGTTTTTCTCATGATTAGACTGGGGTTATGAGTTTCTTGGAGGAAGACCACAGAAGTAAAGTGTCATTTTGTCTCATCGTATCAAAGGAAAATGCTCTCAGCATGATTTATCACATTTGATGTATCGCTGAAGTCGTGTGGTCGTTTCTCCACTGTAAAGTTACTCTTTTTTCCTCTGCTTTCATACTATACTCTGGCAGGAAGTGGGGAGTTATGCTGCACCTCCTTCATGATGGAGTATCTACACAAATTATTAGGTATACTGTACAGAAGATTTGTCTGTTCTCTCCCATTTATTAATTTATTCAGTTATTTATTTATATCAGTATGAGCTGATGGTTAGTTATTTTCTACTTTGGTTATAGTCTAACACTACCTTGTTCATTTGTTGCTTAAATTGTTCCAGGTTGCTTATTAAGAGCACTTTTAATTCGTTCCTGTGTCCTTTTGACATACCCCATTATTGTATTTTTGTTTGAGTACCTCTTTACTTTCTGGTACTAGAAGATATTCCAGGTCCATCTTATATATATGCCTTGCTTTAGAATTAGCCATTTTTTCCTGAAGGGCTCAGGTTCCTTTTATTGGAGCATGGTTTTAGAAACCAAGATTGGAGGGCTACATGTGCCTGTTGCTACTGGTGTGTCGTTGCTTGTAGACCATCTCAGCTGACTGAACAAGGAAATATATGTGTATACCAACTCATGTATATATACATATCTATAAATACTTTGGTACATACCCATCAGTATCTGTATTAAGCTAAGCATAATCCACACTGCTGTCTCCTGCTGTAATCATTACCACATGGGACATCCTAGCTTTCTCTCTTGCTTGTCTGTAATCTCCCACTCTAACAATGAGAATCTGGCTACTACCACTATCTGCATTTCATTTACTTAATTATTCAATTTCAGCATGTATAAGTGATTTCAGAGTTGTTAACCCATGGACTCCTGGCTCCTTCCAGTTTTTTGCCACTATGAATTAAGCTGCTAGAAGTATTCGTATGTAGGTTTTTGCTTGGACATAAGTTTTCAAACACATAGGGTGTGAAATTGGTGGATCATGTGTTAAGACTGTGTTTAGCTTTGCAATAAACTGCCAAACTGCTTTACAAAGGTGCTGTATCATTTTGCATTCCTACCAACCACGAACCAGAATTCCTGTTGTTTTGCATCTGGACCTGAAATTGATATTGTCATTCTTTGGATTTATTCTAATGCATCATGGTGTCACGTTTTTGTTTTAATTTGCATTTCCCTAATGACAGATGATGTTGAGCATTTGTTCGTAAGTTTATTTGTTATCCATATATCTTTTGTGACATGTTTGTTAAGATCTTTTGCTCATTTTTCAATTGAGTTATTTTCTTGAGTTTTAAGAGTTCTTTTGTATATTTTGGATGCAGTCTCTTATTAGATATATGTGTTGCAGATATTTTCTCCCAGTCTATGGCTCATCCTTTCATTTTCTTAGAAGTATCTTTTGCAGAACAGAATATTTTATTTTTGATAAACCCTCCTGTGTATTTTTTTTTTCGTGGAATGTGCTTTTTCTGTTGCATGTAAAAAACACATCACCAAATCCAAGATCACATAGATTTCCTATCTTCTGTGGTCTATATTTTATTATAGAAATTTTATCATTTTGCATTTTGGTCTATGATTCATTTTTAGTTAATAGTTGTGTAAGGTGTAAGCTTTTTGTCTAGGTTCTTTTTTTTGCATGGATATCCAGTTGTTCAAGCACCATTTGTTGAAAGATTATCTTTTCTCCATTTAATGCCTTTGTGCTTTTGTCAAAAGTCAGTTGACTGTATTTCGGTGGATCTATTCCTGGACCCTCTATTCTGTTCCATTGATCTATGTGTGTCTTTCACCATTAACACACTGTCTTGATTACTTGTAGCTTTATAGTAAGACTTGAAATCAGGTAATGTGAATCCTCTTTTTTCTTCCACATTATGTTGGCTGTTCTAGGTCCTTTACCTTTCTGTGTAAGTTTGAGAATCATTTTGTCAGTATCTACAAAATAGCTGGGATTTTTATTGGAATTGCATTGAATTTATAGATTAAGTTGGAAAGAATTGACATCTGAACAATATGGATTCTTCTGATTGATAAATATGGAATGTCTCTTCATTTATTTAGATCTTTGATTTCTTCCATCAGTTTTGTGTTTTTCTCTATATCTCTGTAGCATATTGGTTAGATTTATACTTGAGATTTTTTTCTTTTTGGTGCTGTTGTAAATGGTATTTTTTTTCATTCAAAAATTTGAAATTCCAGTAGTTTATTCTGATATAGTAGTCCCCCCATCCATGGTTTCAGTTACCCATGAACAATAGTGTTGTGAAAATACTAAATGGAAAATTCCAGGAATAAATAATTGGTAAGTTTTAAATTCCATGCTGTTCTGAGTAGTGTGATGAAATCTTGTGCTGTTCTGTCCCATCAAGGATGTGAATCATCCCTTTGTCCAGCATATCCACGCTGTATATGCTACCCACCTATTAGTCACTTAGTAGTTGTCTAGGTTATCAGATCGACTGTCCCAGTATTGCAGTGCTTGTGTTCAAGTAACCCTTATTTTACTTAATAATGGTCTCAAAGTGCAAGAGTAGTAATGCTGGCAATTTGGAGATGCCAAAGAGAAGTTAATGTTCTTAATCTCTTACTGTGCCTAATTTATAAATTAAACTTTGGAACATATCTCCCACAGATAAGGGGAGTACTACTGTGTAGGAAAGCAGTTGACTTTTTTATATTGACCTTGTAAGCTATGATGTTGCTATATTTGCATATTACTTCCAGGAGGGGTTTTTTTTGGTAAATTCTTTGGGATTTTTCTACCTAGACAATCATGTTGACTTTGAGTAAAGACAGTTTTATTTTTCCTTTCCGATCGTATACATTTTATTTCTTTTGGTTTTTTTTTTGTTTATTTTATTTTGTTTTTAGTCTTACTGCAGTAGCTAGGACTTCTAGTACAAAACTGAATAAGAGTATTGAGACTGGACATCCTTGCTTTGCTCCTGTGCTTAGGGGAAAGATGTCCAGTCTCTTAACATTAAATATGATGTTAGCTATAGGGTTTTTGCAGATAGTCTTTTATCAAGCTGAGAAAATTCCCTTCTATTCCTAGTTTGCTGAGAGTTTTTTTTATCATAAATGGCTGTTGGATTTTGTCAAATGCTTTTTCTTCATCAATTGATTTGATCATGTAATTTTTCTTCTTTGGCCTGTTCATGTGCTGTATTAAATTGATTGATTTTTGGGAGCCAGCCCCGTGGCCAAGAGGTTCAGTTCATGCATTCTCCTTTGGTGGCCTGGGGTTCGCTGGTTTGGATCCTGGGCACAGACCCATGCACTGCTTGTCAGGCCATGCTCTGGCAGCATCCCACATAGAAGAACTAGAATGACTGACAACTAGGATATACAGCTATGTACTGGGGCTTTAGGGAAGAGGGAAAAAAAGTGAAAGATTGGCAACAGATTTCAGCTCAGGGCTAATCTCCCTCGCCAAAAAAAAAGCATACCTGAAAAAAAAAAAAGATTTTTCTTCAATGGTGACTCAGCCTTCCATACCTGGAATAAATTCTACTTGGTTGTGATTTATAATTCTTTTTATACATTGTCATATTTGATTTGCCAGTATTTGAGGGGCTTTGTATCTGTGTTAATGAGGGATATTGGTCTTTAGTTTTCTCATAATGTCTTTATCTGGTTTTGTTATTAGGGTAATGTTGCCCTCATACGATGAGTTTAAAAGTGTTATTTACTGGAGGAGATTGTGGAGAATTGTTATCTTTTACATAAATGTTGAATAGAATTCACCAGTGATACCACCTGGGCTTGATGCTGTTTTGGAAGTGTTTGAATTATTAATTCAATTTTTTTTTAACAAATCTAGGTCTATTCACATTATCTGTTTCTCCTTGTGTGATTCTGGTAGCTGTGTCTTTTAAGGAATTTGTCCGTTTCATCTAAGTTATCAATTTTTCAGAAATAAAATTGTTTGTAGTATTCTCTTATTATTCTTTTAATGTCTTCAGGATCAGTCATGTTGACCTATCTTTCATTTCTGAGATTTGCAGTTTGTTTGTTGCTTTTCTTGGTTAGCTGGTCTGGAGGTTTATTAATTTTATTGAACTTTTCAGAGAAGCAGTTTTTGGTTTCATTGATTTTCTCTCTTTTTTTCATGTTTTCAATTTCATCGATTTATTCTGATTTTTTTTTTATTTCCTTTATTTTGCTTGCTTTAGGCTTAATTTGCATTTTTCTCTAGTTTACCAAGATGGAAGCTTAGGTTACTGATTTTAAATCTTTCTTTTCTAATGTATACATTTGATGCTATACATTTCCTTCTATGCACTGCTTTCACTACATCCTACAAATTTTGGTAAGTGGTATTTTCATTTTTATTTCATTTAAAATATTTTTTAAAATTTCTGGGACATCTCCTTTGACCTGTAACTTATTTCCAAGAGTGCTGTTTAATTTTCAAGTATTTGGTGGATTTTCCAGCTGTCTCTTGCTTACTGATTTCCATTTAATTCCACTGTGGTCTGAGAACATATTTTGTATGATGGCTTTTGTTTTAAATTTAGGAAGGTGTGTTTTGTGGCCTACATGATGGTCTGTTTTGGTGAATGTTCCATGTGAGCTAGAATAGAATGACAGAATGTGTATTGTATTTATTTTGGATGGAGTATTCTATAAATGTTAGATCATGTTGATTGATAGTACTGTTCAGGTCATCTATATACTTTCTGATTTTCTGTCTGCTTGGTCTCTCAAGACTGACAGAGGGGTGTTGAAGTCTCCACCCATGATTATAGATTTGTCATTTTCTCCTTTCAGTTCCATCAGTTTTTGCCATATGTGTTTTGATACTCTTTTGTTAGATGTATACATATTTCAGATTGTATCTCCTTTCTCTAAAGGATTTTGAATCCACCTAATGAGTTCTTAATTTCAGATATTGTATTTTTCAACTCTAGAATGCCCAATTTCTGCCCATGAGTGTACATATATGTATACACACATGCATCAGAAGTCCCCAAGACCATCTCCAGGTTCAATGATTCACTAGGATAACTCAGCATGTAGTTGTACTTATAGCTATGACTCATTAAAGTGAAAGGATACAAAGCACAATCAGCAAAGGGAAAAGGCACGTGGGGCATAGCCCAGAGGAAACCAAGTGCAAGCTTCTAAGTGTCTTCTCCCAGGACACACTGAAGTCCTCTTGCAATGAGATGTGACAACAAGTGTAAAATGTCTGCCAGGGAAGCTCAGAAGACACTCAGAACTCAGTTATCATCAGGGGCTAGTCACATAGGTACTTTCTATTTAGCACATAAAATTTCAGACTCCCAAAGGAATGCATGTGTGCAGCATAAACCATATTGTTTACACAAATAGTTTAGGCTCAGTGAAGCATTCTTATCGGGGAATGGTGAGAACCCTCCTGACATCCAAGGTCCCAGATGCCAGCCAAGGGACACCCTTGTAGCAGACCTTTCAAAGGATCGCAGTCTCATAGCTACTCTGTTAATTCTTTTCTGGACAACACACATACCATATATCTGTTGAACTTCTCCCATCTTTTCATTTATTTTGTTTATGTTTTCCTCTGTTTTATTGAACATATTATAATTCATTTGAAGTTCTTGTTTAATTCCAATATCTGGGTCCCCTATGGGTCCGCTTTTATTTTCTATTTTATTCTTAGTTCCTGTCTCTTCACATAACATGAAGTTTTTTATTGGATGCCAAACATTGTATTTAACAAAAAAAAATTGGTAGAGCCTGCAGAAAATGATCTCTTTTAGCAGAGAGAAGTCATCTTTTTCTCTGGTGGGCAGGTAGTTTAATTAGTCGTGAGCTGAGCTTGGTCAGGGCCTGCACCATATTCATTTTAATCTCGCTATTCAGTTTAACAACTGAAAGTTTTACTTCCTCAGTGGAAGATAACATGAAAGAACTAACTTTTCATTGGTAACCCCAGTCTGCTTTGTGCATACTGCTAGCTCCTGCAATGTCTAATATAATAAATGTTAATGTATATGTCTCCTTACCAGGTCGTAAACCCTTTGAGAACAGGAACTGTTACTTGTTTGTTTGTTTTCGTCAGTAAGTATTAGCAGCTACTAGGACAGTTCCAGGCCCTTAGTGTAAACTTAATTTGTACAAGATATTTCTTTTATCTTAGATAGTATAGCACAAAAGAAGGCAATCTTATATGTCAATTTTTAGTAAACTCTAAATAGATTAGTTCTTTTAAATCTTTTCCACATCATACAGTTCTGACAGCTTTATATAGAAAAGGAATATACCGTTACAGGAACAAGTGTCTTTCAAAGATGTATGTGTGGACTTCACCCAGGAAGAGTGGTATTTGCTGGATCCAGCTCAGAAGATTTTATACAGAGATGTGATCTTGGAAAATTACAGCCACCTTCTCTCAGTAGGTAAGAATTTTTTTCCGTATGATCACCAGTAGCATGCATTTCTTAGTCGATGAAACATGAACTCCCTGTGGAATTTTCTGATTTGAAGCTTGAGATTAAAGGCTCTGATATGACCGATCCCTTTTGGCCACCATAAAGAAATATGTTCTTTTTCAGGGATTGGTTCATTTGGGCACCTCCTTTGGACAGGTCCTGAAGCTATACCTTTCTTCCCCGTCATTTTTTCAGAATCCCCAAAGCCAGGCTGTATTATTTTCTCTTAACAGGGTATTGCATTACTAAGCCAGAAGTGATCTTCAAGATAGAGCAAGGAGAAGAGCCCTGGATATTAGAGGAAGGATTCCCAGGCCATTCTCACCCAGGTGAGTTAGTGAGTTCACAGGCAGATGGAAACCAGAGGAAATGAGATCTCAGGCCATTGGTTTAGGGTTTATCACCTTTGAAATATTTCTCAGAAATTTTTTTTTTAGCCCCAGACCTTTAGAAGTGACTAAGGACAGTTGACTCACATCCCTCCATTACCTTAATCACATTCCTCTATGTCACTTTTACTCATAAATGCTTTCCTTTGTTCTTTGACATTTTAGAGTGATTTACCTATACCCATAATTCAAACTCAGTTGGCTTCATCTTAGATAGTTTTTCTTGGTTAATTTCTCTTTTAAAATTGTACACCTTCCCTCTGTTGTCTTTGGATACCTTTTGTTAGCTGGTATGTATTCATGCAATAATTCCAGATATTCATTTAACAAATATATGATGAACACTCACTATGACCCAGTTATGTTTTTAGGTAAGTAAAAGAATAATATTGCTGTTATCATACAGTGTGTATTACAATGAGGGACAAAGAGCAAATGTGTGTTTGCATATGTGTGTGTGTATGTAGATATATGTGCATGTATAACACACACAATGTTGGGTGGTAGTAAGTACTGTTTAGGTAGTAAGTACTGTTAAAGCAGTGGAAAGGGGGAAAGAGAATGATGGCATGTGCTATTTGGTGAGGAAGTCAGAGGAGACCTTTTTAATGAGGTCCACAGTAGAGATGAGACTAATAAAGAGAGAGTGTGAGCTTTGTGGACTGTGAGTATTCCAGGCAGAGGGAACATCAGGTGCTGAACTTCTCAGACAGTGTGTTCTTAGAGCATTTGAAGAATAGCAAGGATGTCAGTGTGGCTGGAGGCGAGTGGGTATGGGGGAGATTGGTACAAGATAATGTCATAGGAAGTAACATGGACCATGAGTGGATACGTTAATTTTGAGTGATGTGAGAAATCCTTGGGTTTTTTTGAGTAAATGTAGATCAAATTAAGTTATCAAATCTGATTTACAGTTTAAAAAGGGTCTCTCTGAGTTCTTTGCAGTGAATACACTGTAGTGGATAGGTGGTGTTTAGGCATGAGCAAGGAAGGAATACCAGTTAGGAGACTATTATGTACTCCAAAGGAGAGAGGATAGTGGCTAAGGCTATGTGAGAAGGGCTGAAAAGCGGTATGTTTGTAAATATATCTTGAAGATGAGACCAAGAGGATTTGCTGTGAATTAGATATAGAGTGTGAGAGAAAGGGAGGAGTCAAGCATGAGCCCAATGGTTTGTCTCAAGCAGCTGGATAAATTAGGGTGCCATTTACTGAGAGAGAGAAAATTAGGGAGGAAACATTATAGGGGAGTTATTACAAATTTAAATTTGGACATGCGAAGTTGGAGATAACTGTTAGTCTGTGTATTGAATAGGAGGTTGGATATATACAAGTATGAGGTACAGGGTTGAGGTCAGAACTAGAGGTATCTGTTTGAAAGCCATCAGCTCTAGGTGGTGCTAAAGGCATGGGGCTTCTGATCAGAGGTTGGCAGACTTTTTTGTAAAAGACTAGATAGTAAATATTTTGGGCTTAGTCGACCACATGTGGTCTTGGTGATGGTGGTTGTTGCTGCTGCTGCTCCTCTTACCTCTTTCTCCTCCTCCTCTTTCTTCTTCCTCCTCACTCTTCCCTGCTCCCTCTTCCATCTTTTTCCCTCTAAAGACATAAAAAACATTTTTAGTTCAAGGACCATTACCTTGCAGTCATAGTTTGCTGACCCCTTTTCTAGAGAGTGGTTGTTTGTGAAAGATGTAGTCCTGGGACAATACCACTTTTACAAGGTGTGTAAATCCATTATATCTTATCATTAGAGGAGATGGAGAAGGAAGAATCTGAGTGACATGCAGGCCAGAGAGCCTGGTTTCCCAAGAGTCAAATAAGGAACATTCTGCCATCCTGTAGCTACCTTAAATGGCAACCATAGGGTCACTGTACTAAACCTGTTATCCCCTTTAACTAGTCTCTTCATACTCCTGTTGTTTTCCTTTCGAAACCTTCTTCTGCATCTCTTCATTTTCTCACTTTTCACTGATATCACTCAAAACCAGAACCGTGTCTGTGTTCTCTCATTCCTGGCTTGATCTAATTCATAATTGGCTCTTATTTTTTTACCTACAGCATCTAATTTATCTTGCACTGTCCTGACAGAATTGCTCCTTAATAAATGAAACTAAAGTCTCCTTTTGTTGGCTGTGGTCCTGTTCTACCTATCTCAACTTTTCTTTCTGCTCTTTAGATTTTACACTAAACCCCGTACTATCTTAGATCTTAAAGTTCACTTATAAATGCTTTGTCTTTTATCTACAACACTCTTTATTATTTACTTTGCTTTTTCAGGTACTTTAATTAGTATTGTGCATGTAAAGTGTTTAGACCTCATATGGTACACATAGTAATGGCTTGAATGTTACTGTTTCACTTACTTTAAATTAAAGCTTGATTTTTTGCTGTAACTTAAATAGTCCATCTTTTATGACCCTACCCCACTAGTAGCTGTATCCCAAAAAACTCAGACCTGATCATATGACTGTTGCTTAGGATTTCCTTCCTTACTGAGATTTTGTTTTCCCAAAGAGAAGGCCCTTTCTTAATTTTCCTAATTCTGATATTTTAATAATTATTTTGTTGAGTAACTATGGAGACAACTTTAGATCATTCTTTTTCATCCATTCAGAAAACATTCTGTAGTACTTTTCCTAAATGCATGTTCCCATATATTTCTCATGTATTACAGCTTATCAGGTACAGGTTGGAAATTATTCATATGCATATTGTCTTTTAAGAATCATGAATGTACTGTCTCAGTGAGGTCAGAGGAAACAGGATTTTGGTATCACCTGCCAAAAGCCGGACTGTGGTCATGACAAAGGGTGTAGCATTAGCAATGGATTTATTTTACATTACAGTGAATTATACTGACACCAACTTCTTCTAAAGGCAGCAAGTGGAAGCTGAAAATGGTAGGGATGTTGTAGGGTTTGTTGGCTTTTGTCCTTTTATTACTATTTTTGTGGTTTATTGTTTTAAATTAAAGAAGGTAGCGTTTCCTGAAGGAGGTCCAGGTCCCAAGGAGAGCCAAGACTGGAGTGCAGCTAGTTGAGTGAAAGCCCTGTTGTTTGGAATGAGCACTTTGTGAGAGACCCTGCTACGGCTGCACAGAGATATTTTTAATGGACTTGTGGAATGGTGGTTTGAACACTTAGTGTGAATCCGGTTGGTATAAAGTTTTTGTTTTGATTTGTTTTTGCCAGGATAATAACTATTATCTGTTGGTCCTTAGAGTGGGCTTAGGACTATCATAGATTGTTTTTTAAACATGTGATTAATGTTACATTGGGTAGCAACAGTGAAGTATAGCCAAGATTTTTATGATGACGTTTACTGAAGGTCTCAGAACCATATAGAGAAATGTGATCCACGCAAGTAAGTAAAAGCCACAGATGAGGCTAGATATAAAAGCAGAAAACCTTGATATAAAAGATAAGCCTAGATATAAAAGCAGACTTAGAGATCAGCATTGCCTCAGAATCAAAATCCTTTTGGGGAAAAGTAAGCTAGCAGATGGAAGGGAAGAAACATATGGTTTGATGGTCAGGACAAATTCATTAACAGCTGTGAGAAGACAAATGAACCTGGTCCTTTTGCAGAGATAGCCTGCCCCTCATCTATTTTGTGTTTCCTGTTGGACATTTGTGTTATTGTGAATCACAGCTGGATGGAGAGTTGGCGTGTGAGATAAAGCAATGTCCCTTAAAACATGAGGAAATAGGTGCTTTCAGAAATTTATTTTGATGTTGATATATCAAATTGGAAAAAGAAGAAATGCCAACTTGCATATTAGTGAGGATCCTACCACAGTAATCAAGCTGTGAGAAGATAAGGACATAAACCGTGATCTGCCTCTGCCAAACCGAATTCTTCCTCTAATATGCTTCTCAAACAGTTTTCCTTTTTAAAAGAACTCCCTTGTTGAACTCATGCAGTTCTCTGAGTTTCCCGTTCCCTCCAAGAGCAACTCTCAGAAAATCCCCATCTCTTGCTCACTATGTCTTGAGTTTATTTTACCTTCTTTAGCCTGCCTCTATTACAACATTTTAAAAGATAATTATTCCTTGGGAAATAAATTAAAGGAAAAACTAGATCCTAGGGTATAGGACTATTCTGTTGAACCTGAGGAAGTTAGTGTTTTCAGAACTTCAGTTTGGTGTTGATGCGTAGAGTGGAAGCCTGTACTGTAGGAGGAACCCTCCCGCAGTAATCAGTATGTGAGGGAATTAGGACTGAATGTTGTTCTGTCTCCCGCAAACGTAGTTCATCCTCTCAAAGCCCTTGCCTAGTACTCTTCGCTGTCACTTTATCCAGTGTTTAATGTCTCTGGCTCACCCCATCCTCTTGAGTTTCCCTATTTCTGAATCAGCCACTCACCAGTTCCCTGTGCTCTGAATTTTATTTTACCTTTTCTCTGTCCAGTTTTGAAGGTTATATTTGTAAAGTGTTAAATGTCATTGCCAGTTTCCTTTCTCTGCTTCCACTGCAGCATGTATTTATTTTGCACTCAAACCAGAAGGGTAAAGGAAATGTATAGTTGGATTTAGTTCATACAAGGAATCTGAGCCTAAAACAAAAGAATTGACTATATAATAGGACATTTGTGTAAAAGTCCAATTCCATTAAAAATGTACTAGGTTCATAAGATGTGGTTATTTTTCTCATTTCTAGAAGACTGGAAAGTTGATGACCTGATAGAGAGCAGCCAGGAAAATCAAGATGAACATTTTTGGCAACTTGCTTTCACCACCAACAAAACATTAAGTACAGATAGTGGTGATAGAGTAAGGAAAACTTTCAATCTGAGTACAGACTCTGTTCCTTCAAGAAATTTTCCACATAAGATATGTGACTCATGTGAAATGAGTTTGAAAAATATTTCAGGCTTAATTATTAGTAGAAAGAACTATTCTGGAAAGAAGCCTGAAGAGTTTAATGTATGTGAGAAGTTGCATCTTGATATTAGGCATGAGAAAACTCCTAATGGAGGGAAATCTTACAAATATAATCAAAAAAGGAATGTCCTCAGTCATAGCCAGGCTCTCTCTCAGTCAATTTTTCACCAGCCTTTTGAGTATAATGAAAATGGACAAGGCTTCCATGAGGAGGCAGCCTTTTTCACAAACAAGAGAACTCAGGTAGGAGAGACACTGTGTAAATATAATGAGTGTGGAAGAACCTTCATCCAAAGTTTAAAGCTCAATTTGTCTCAGAGAACTCATTTGGAAATGGAGCCATGTGAATGCAGTATTTGTGGGAAGTCTTTCCATACGGATTTAAGATTGGGACATCAGAGAGCTCTTACAGGGGAGAATCCTTATGAATATAATGAATATGGGCAAATCTTCTGTGACAATTCAACTTTCATTATCCATCAGGGAACTTACACAAGAAAGATTCCCCATGAATATAAAGTAAGTCAGAAAATGTGGGAGAAGTCAGCCCTCTTTAAACATCAGGTAGTTCACATGAGGGAAAAACCTTATGAGCATAATGAAAATGGAAATAATTTCAACAAGAAGTCACCTCTCACCCAGCTTCGAAGAGGTCACTCAGGAGAAAAAACCTTCGAATGTGGTGAATGTGGGAAAACATTCTGGGAGAAGTCAAACCTTACTCAGCATCAGAGAACACACACAGGAGAGAAACCCTATGAATGTACTGAATGTGGGAAAGCCTTTTGTCAGAAACCACATCTTACCAACCATCAGCGAACACATACAGGAGAAAAACCCTATGAATGTAAGCAATGTGGAAAAACGTTCTGTGTGAAGTCAAACCTCACTGAACATCAGAGAACACATACAGGGGAGAAACCTTATGAATGTAATGCATGTGGAAAATCCTTCTGCCACAGGTCAGCCCTAACTGTACATCAGAGAACACACACAGGCGAGAAACCCTTTATATGTCATGAATGTGGGAAATCCTTCTGTGTGAAGTCCAACCTCATTGTACATCAAAGAACTCACACAGGGGAGAAACCCTATAAATGTAATGAGTGTGGGAAAACCTTCTGTGAGAAATCAGCTCTCACTAAACATCAAAGAACTCACACAGGGGAGAAACCCTATGAGTGTAATGGATGTGGGAAAACCTTTAGTCAGAGGTCAGTACTCACTAAACATCAGAGAATTCACACAAGGGTGAAAGCTCTTTCAACATCCTGAATGTTCAGAAGCCTTCATCCACCCTTTCTAATTTGTTGTACATAGTTTTAGAAAATGAGATTAATGAAACCCAAAGAATGCCACAAGTGACTAGAAAGTGACATCTCATTGTACTTCAGATAATTAATACTAGAGTAAAACCTTATTAATGTTTTGAATATGTGAAAGCTTTCAAGAAAAATTAAAACTTTTCATCAGAAAATTTGTGCTGAGGGGAAATTTATTCATTTAAGTCATGTGGTAAAAATCTTTAGGATTTATGTTGTATAGTGGATGTGATGCCAAAATTTTATTGTAAATATAATGGATAATATTCATTTATACCCATATTCACAGTGGAATCTGAAGCTTAAAAAAGGTTGAATGGCAACAGCATTAAACATTTATGTGAAGAGTCCCTGATGTTTGCGGGCCTTATGTGAGTATGCTAATATAACAGAAATTTGAGGTATGCTTGATTTGTATATGGGGGCCCAATATACTTGTGAAGAGAAAATATAAACCCTTAGTTAAGTAACTTTATGGTCTATATTAATATTTCCCAAAATAAATGCCACCAGTGTCTTTATAGGTTGACATAATTATACATGTGTATATATGTATATGTAAATATGTTTATACACATATATCCACACATACAGTGGTGTGCTAGTGTGAGCTCATACTGGCTTGCAAGTACTGCTGATTTTTAAATTTTCAGGAATTTTGTGAGCCAGTTGTTAAATAGAGTCATTATTTAAAAATTATATAAACTTACAATTAAATTATATTAAAAACAAAGGTAATAAATACTCAACAATCATCACTTCATAATTATTTTGTAACGTTTTGCTGTTATCTCTGTTCTTTAGGTTACTTGTATTATGGAACCTGCATGATGAACATGCTGTATAATGGTGTGCCACTGCACATCTCCAACTGAATGTGCCAACCCCACATTCAGTGCCGTCATGTTGATAGCTTGGCTTTACTGGGAGTATTTACACCATGGAAATTGGCAAACTCTACAAATCAGGGTTTTTATTTTCTCAGAGAACCTGTTGTTAAATATTTACAGTAGCACACCACTGTGTATATATGAAAATACATTTGGAAAATTCTAAGTACAAACCACATAGCCCTTCTCCTATTTCCTGACATAAATAAATGGCTATGGCCATAATTACTGAACTGCCTCTTCAGTAAAGAAGCCAAAATATGTTTTTTTGAGGTTTTTAACTACCTCTGCATCAGTCCTCTTCTAAATATCACGAGTCTCTTTATAGTGTGGCCAGTATGTTATTTTACAACCACATCACCTACCTTTTCTCTCACTTTGCTGGCATCTATGAATGAGTATGGCCATTATTACTGAACTACCACTTATATAAAAAAGCCAAAAAATATTCTTGTGAGGTTTTTCAGCTGCCTCTGGGTCAGTCACTAATGTAAATGCGTTAATAATGATATTTATATAAATTTCAGAAATGTTAACATCAGTTATGAACAGTAATACTTACTGCACTCTACAAATAAAAAGTAGTAGTATGTAATGAAATGCCTCTCTCATACTCTTGGTATCTCATTGCTGTATCTATTTAGGCATAATATGTGTAACCTGAGTTGTATGTAACCCAGGAACTATGTATTTCTATTTAATTTAATAGAGTGTCATATACCATCTCTGTCTCCTTTGTCCTGCTCTTACCTGTGCTTCCTTGGAACACATGGATAAGCAGCTCCAAGAGACACTGCCCACCTACCAGACATTCCCTACTTCTTAGGTACTGGGCTCTGTTTTGTCTCTTTGTCCATCCTTCCCCCAGATGATTTAGGGCTAAATTCAGATTAGTCTAAGTTAATTATGAAGATTCTATTCTAAAGATTTTGTTGGGGTGGACATGTGAGCAGTGAAATGTTTGGAAAATATTCTGCAGTGCTTCTGGGAGAGATCTGAGTGATAAAATATTGTCATGACATAAGAAGAGATTGTCTTTCTTCTGCTGGACTTTTTCGTGTCTGTATGTTACAGCAGATTACAGCATGTGGCCCTGAAGGGCTAAAATAGCCTGACGATAACAGTACACTCCTGGCTCAGAGGTGGCATTACTGCCACCACTGCATAGCTCTATCTGGACCTGCTCTCTACTAAGTCTTTGTATTACTGCGTTAACAGTGCTTTCTTATTTATCCTTAGGGCTGTCTGTTATTTAGAGCTGAAAGCATTCCCCCTGAACAGACAAATTCTTTTCTAAGTGTTAATGTTCTATACAGCAATTTTGGAGAAAAATTCTTTTGACAAATTAATATAGGGATGGCTATTTGTATCAGCCATGGTTCTGGTGAAAAACAGAATTCTACTCCAACTAAGAAGATTTTAATGGCAGATTTATTACAGTGGTTTGGGCCAGAAACAAGGAATATTGAAGCAACTAGCATCAATATTGAAGAGACTAGCATCAGCAGGAAGCCATTACCATCCTAAGTCCTAAAGGGGGAAAGGATGGAAACAAGTGTTACCAGAGCCCAATAAGAGCTGCCCTCATGGAGGAGGGGCCACCTCATAGGAGATACTGTGGCACCAAATTGCTGGTGCCTCCCTTTGGAGAATCCAACCAGATCCCATCTACAGGTGAGCCCAGGTGGGCAGAGAAGGTCTGGGTGGAGCCAATGGAGAATAAGCAGCGCAGTGTTTTTTATTCCTGTAAATTCCTGTGTTAAATGCTCAGTATTAGAAATAAAGTTATTCTACTAGTTGAAAGTCATGCTTCTGCTTCATTGTGCTTTTGTATTGTCATAAGTAAATTCCTTTTGGAACTGAGCACTGTGGCAGGTATGTTTGTCCTTTGATATACATAAAGCAGACATTATGTCAAGTTGCATTTTTCATATGTCCTTCTGTGATGTTTCTTGTTCTATGTGGTGTGAGGTAAGCAGCTCTCTGTTCTTCCAAATAAAGAGCCAGTTGTGTCTGCATTGTTTGATTTATTCACCCTTTTTCTTGTTGGCTCGATATGGCATTTTTATCATGTACTTAAATATTATGTAGTGGCTATTGCTTTTGTCTGCTCAGTGTACCTTTTCTATGTTCTTCTAGTAATATATCCCATCCTTATGAGCACAGAGTTGGCATCTGCCTGGCCCCACATTTGAATTCATCCAGGAATAATGCTTTGTCACAAAATAGGCCCATGAGAACCATCCTAGAATATTTTTATTGAGAAGTCACCATGACCAGAGAGTTGTATCCCTTGTTGCTGCCAGTAGCTATATCAAGAAAATTTATCTTCAAGGGAGAATATGATGGTGATAAGTGTCATAAGGAAAATAAAAATAGGGAAAGTTGTCAGAAGGATGGTTTGATTTTAGATAGTGTGGAGAAGGAAAGACCTCACTGGGAAGGCTACAATGAAGAGAACGAGACATTTGGATTTCTGGAGGAAGAGTGTGTGTGTGTCTGTAATACTTACACATGTATAACCAACAATTTTATATATCTGTGATTTCATTTCATGAAACAGTATCCTAATTAATCGTAATGTACTATGATGTTTTATTTTTTTATTGTCCTACATTCAAGAAATACTTGTTCCCATATACTAAGCTGATTTCACAAGTAACAAATGGGTCAGAGCTTGAAAACCATCGCTCAAGTGTGTAAAAGCATGAGAGGAATTGCGGGGTCATCGGTATGGCTTTCTGAAATGATTAAGCAGTTGACACTCCCAGTGCCTCGAAATTGTTTTCTGATAAACTCCCAATAATCCATTTCTTTGGAATTGGGCCCATTTTCTGTCCCCAACTTGGCCTCCCTTGCCTGGTGTGCCCTACCACTTTATATCCAGCCTGTAGTTGGCAGGGAAAGGTGGAGCCATAGCCTTTGGGAGGGTTCAAACCATGAGTATCCTAGATGCCCCCACTCACTACCCCTGCTTGTTGCCTCCCAGTCAGAGGTTGCAGCTGTAGCTGTCGCGGACCTACCGCTCTTTCTCTCTTTTTCTGGGGAAGGCTTATTGAATTGCTGTTTCCACTGAATCTCCATCTGCCACCCAGTGACTGGACACTGCACAATCTCAGCCTCCTTCCTTTTATCTGAGGAACTAAGCCTCCGTTTTCCCAGCCTGCCCCTCCTCTCAGACCTTACATCCCCAGGCTTCTCTTTCAGATAATGAGGAGCTGTTGTCTATTTTTAGATGCCACTTTTTAAGAACAAGGTCCCCTCAGATACTTGGGGAGGTGGAAAAGTGATGCTTAATATCTTGCATGCCTCCCACCATGTCTGGAGTCTGTAGTTGGGATGATTGATCCTCTCTTGGCTCAGTTTCCTTGTCTGCAAAATGGTAATATCCTCATCTGAAAGAGTAGGCCTTACCTTGAGCTTACTTCCAGTAACACACAGGCCCAAAATTCTCACTTGTCTAACCCCCCTAAAAGAAGCCCAAGTCCTCATAGAATAAGAGGGGAGTTCAGAATTCTTTGAATTCCAGCCCCTAATGAAGGCATGCTCTGCTCTTCTGGGTCTCTGATCACATTCCTTAAAACAGAAAAGGAACTTGGAGACACATGGCAGCCGTGACTGGTGCCCATGGAGGTAGTGGGACTTCCTAAGCCTTCCTGGGACTCTGTGCTCCTGTGCTGATGGTCCCACCGGGACCTATATTGGGAGAAGAGGGTATAAATACTCTATAGAGTATAACAGATGAGAATTCTTCAACCTCTACCCCCAATAGTTACCTCCCGTGAAATAACTCTTGGTTTTTAGTTCAGCATGTATCCTGGGCCTTTTGCCGTGCATTTCAATCCACATATATGTACCTATAGAGAATTTATAATATACTGGAGTCTTATTTTATGGGCATTTGAGTTTTGCAAATGAGAAATACTGTCAAAATATTAATAAAAGTCTTTTATTACATGCAAAATATAAATGCCGTCTCCAAATCATATTTTGTTGCCTGGAATTAGATCATTATAGAGCAGGCATGCTCAGTGATTTTCAAGCTGTATTTGTAAATTGCCACTAAAGAGAAATAAACCATATCATTCTTAATAGCCTGTGCATGCACAAGTATTACTATTTACGGTTTTTGAAGTTTTTCACATGATTCGTGAAGATAGTCTATGTTGTTATAGTTTAAAACATTAAAAAATTTCTGTAAAAGTGTATTCAAGAGTTTTAAAACTGGGAATATTGGTGGCAGTGATGAAAAACATACCTGAACATCAGTAACTTTAGAAGGATAGTCAGATTCCATGGAAGGCTGTGAAGAACTTTAACCCTGAAACACCATGCAGTTTAGTAGGTAATGATGAGAAAATAATAATGCTCAGAAAATATAAATAAAGTGACTTTAATATACCTCAAGAGTCATAGACTTTCTCTGAAATGTGCTCTTTAATTTTACTTATATGGGAAAATTTGTGAAAAAAAATACTGCTCTCTGCTGTTTTCTGAAGGTGGATTGGTGTTTGGGTCAGTTTGGTTTGGCTTCTTATATTTCAGTGTTCTTTTTGGATGCACACACACGTTAAGATAATATATATATATATATTGTAAACTCCATTATTTATTTCACAGTATGTGACTAACATTTTCCATGTTAGTTTTTCTGCCCTTACATGATCATTTTTAATGACTACCTAGAATTCTGTCTTATGGATCAATACCATTTTACCTCTACCCTCTCAATGCTCACTAAGGTGGCTTCCAGTAATTTTTACTATCATAAATAACATTATGGAGGAACACCTCTGAACATACATCTTTCTACACTGGTCCAAGTTTTCTTAGAATTTCTAAAAGTGTAATTTCTGGATTAAAAGGTAAGTTCATTTTCAGTTCTGATGAAATTGACTCCAGAAAGGCTAATTGAATTTCACTCCCATCCAAAGTTTGGAAATGTGGGTTCCTTAAGCCCATTCCCACAGTGGGTTCTGCTCTTTTACAGTTTTTTCCAACTTCATTTATACAACATAATAAAATATTTCTTAAATTGATTTTCTGGAGACATTGAACATTTTAACACTATTTATTGATTGCTCGTCTTCAGTTTCTTTCTTAATGTTGGCTCATGTCCTTAGCCTAATTTTAATTGAGGTGCTCGTCATTTTATAATAGCTGGTCATAAACGATTATTACAACATTTTCTTGGTTTATGTGCTCTTTATAAGAATCTAAATATATTTCTTACCTCATTTTACAATGAGAGCTATACATAATTGCTTTTTTCACTTAATAAATGGTTCATATCAACATGATAACATTTCTTGTTCTTTTGGAGTGTACTCTAAAATTTGCCTATGGGAGGGCTTTTTTTTTTTTTTTTTTTTTGCAGTTCAGATTTCATAAATTTGAACTTTTAAATGATTTTTTGCCTGCAATTGGTGTCATGCATTCTCAACATTAAAATTATGAAATTCTTATGTTTTGAATACTTTGATATTAAGAATCCATCAAAAGAGTATTCCTTGTAATATGTGAGAGAAACATCTACTCTTGTTATGCTGTTTAGAGAGAGAACCAGTTGCCCCAGCACCATTTATTAAATAGGCACATTTTTCTCCACTTCTTTGAAACACCACCATTATCACATATTAAATTCTTACACAATCTTAGGACTTTACATGTTTTTTTTCCTGACTTAGAACTAAAATATTTAACTGTTATAACTATTAAAGACACATCTTCAGTTGAGCTTTAGTCTGCATTTTCACAAAATGGCGCTTCGTATCATGCTACATAAAATTTACATTTGTCTGGCGGCAGAACAGAAAATCTGAAAACAACTTTGTAGAGATTTTGTTTGGAATGTTGTACCATAATATACTTCATCTTTTTATTCAGGAAAATTATTACTCACATCTTAGACTACTGTTCAGTAAAGTTCTGTAGTTTCCTTCATGTGGTCTCTTCACATTTCTTATTTATGTCTATGTTTTTTTCTTTGAACTTGTAAACTTCTTGATTATGTTAGCATCATGGACATAACGGAGACATATTATTAAAACATATTTGACAGTAAAGATTTTCACTATATACTATTTAATGAAGAGATAGTCACAAAGCATTATGCGCTTTGTAAAAATGTCAGAGAATTTGCACTTAACTCTGAGAGGAGAAGTCTTTTGGATTGTATTTCTTTTCTGAATTTTTTCCATTTTTTTAATATTTGTGTAATTTCTTCAAGCTAACATATTTTGCAACCCAAAAGAAACCCTGACAATCATGGATGTGACACTTTGTTGGCCTCTGTTTTCAATTTTATTTAAATGTTTTATCTAGATTCATAAGTGAAATTGATATATTTGTGATACCTATCTGTGGTAGTTTTATGTCAATATAGTCTCAGGGTATGATGAAAGCCTACTTCTAAACCATGTCTTAGGGATTGTAAAAGCAACACCTCCAGGGAGAAGAGATTATTTTGGGGAGCACAAAAGGAGGGGCCATAGAGGTTAATGGGCACTGAATGCAGAAATATGAATTGGGCCTCTGATGACACTGGGAAAGTAAGGTGCTGCACTTTGCTCCACACACGTGCAATTCTGTGTTGTATCCAGCCTCCTGAGGGAGCTGGTGCCTGAGGATCCAGCCTTTATCCTTTGGAGACCTGGTTCTGGACAGAATTGGGAAGGAAGTTTGTGCACTTTTGGGTTCTGTGGAATTTGGCAGCCATAGAAAAGGAGCTGAGATCAGCTTGCAGTGGGTAGGGTCCAAAATTTCTCCAAATGCCTCTCAATTGGGTCTCTTAATGTATGTATTTTTTAGCCTGCTCTGGACTTACCTTCACATAAAGGCATTTGATAATAGGGTCTGCTGTTTCAGGGTGGAGGGCAGGGTGCAGGAAAGAGAGGAAGAGGAGTGGGGTCGAGCAGGGCATGAGCTGTGGTTGCATTTGTTACTTTCTTTGAGGAAAGCTCCTGATGTAAATGGCCAGGTGTGTGCAGTAAAATTTACAGGCTTTCATTCCAGAAGATGTCT